CGTTATTCAAATTAAAGTAACATTAGTGTCACTTCCGTTGTTGCAGATTAGATGACAAATAAATTATATTGGGGTTGTAAAATCCTAAATATAACACAAATGAATTTTTAAATATAGTTGTGTTGACGAAATTGACTATTATACTATGCGTAAACGTACTATGCATTCCTTGTGGGAGGTGTGTACTTGTGAAGGGCTGTAATGATGATGATAATGAAGAAACTATGCATTATTAGCAATGGTAGTCCACGATGTAACTAGGATCACTTGCGTTCGTTCATAATATAACACTTCATAGTGAACTTTGTATTTGGTGGCGTGACCAAAATATTGTTTCGCGTGCCATCGATGGCACGCGTGCCAATGGCTATAGCTTATGTATGCAACAAAGTTTTGATTTATTTGCATTTTTATTTTGATAATTCATTACAAATATTATGTAATACAAAACACTACACAATTTATAACTGACATAAAAGTAATAATAAATATACAACAAGATTTAGCACTATGCACTGTGATATTCTCCGTTCGGAGTACCTAATGGTACCTATTCTGTGTTATCTCAAATAAGGTAAGTACCCCTTTACCTTTAACAATTAACAAAAGTAAGAACAAATTATTACTTAAATAAGTTAAAACTTTTGTATTCTTTTTAGTGTAAATTTAATGATGATAAAACTAACTTCAAAAATGTTTTTTCAATAACATTAATGCTGTAAATATGATCTCACCTCATGTTAACATACCTTAAAATAAGCGTTTCTGTTAATAATGATTAATTGTATGTTTTTAAATAGATTTTAAGTTAATAAACCAGTATTTCAACTTTAATGTTTACTATTTCTAAAAGTTCACAAATTATCTAACCGTAAAGATGAATGTGACACTACACTACTAACATAAGATAGAAAACAAAAAAAATAGATAAACAGACCACCCTCATATTTTGCTTCAAAAACTTAAAATATGGTCCTGAGTCTTTTTTGTAAAAATAAGGGTAACAATCTAGCAGACAGTACACCTGATAGTAAGCGAATGCTGTGACCCGTATACACCTACATTTACTCATTATTTTGAATCAAAATACAGATGCCTTGAAGATCTGGCCGTGAAAGGAAAAGGGAAGATCTCCCACCGGGCAAGGTGTTCTGCCCGGGGAGCAGCCAACACTCCGTGTGATAGTTCGGAGATGTTCTATATATACTGTGTGTTTGTGCTTCGGTGTGTTTCGCTTGCGACGCGATGACAGCGCCGCTACATCACCCCCCTGCTCAGACCGGAGGTCGATAGTGCAGCCTCGTTGCCAACGAATGTGCAAGTGCCAGGAGATTGCCTTGTAGTCTGTGGTGAGTCGAGAAGAAGGCAAGTAATCTGCGAGAGTGCCGTGAAGCAGAGGCGAGCAGTAAGGCTCAGCAAGCTTACTCTTGAATCCAATAACAATTTCGATCCAATCTCAATTTCAATCCAATGTCAATCCAATGCTGACAAATTAGCGTACTCATGATACCAATTTTCACAACATTGGATTGAAATCGGAATTGCGCTTGGATTGGCCAAAAATTTTGTTGTACCACATGAAGTTAGCTGCGTTACTCTTAGCAACATGCATGTTTTAATTATCGTTAAACCGGTAAAGTCATAATAAACCCTTTGTAACTTTCATAAACGAGCGTTTAAAAAGGTGCAGTGCCAAATAAAATAAAAAAGCAGTCACGAAAAATCATGTTAAATACACTCGTAATTTCTCGTTTGTACGAACCCTTAATATGACACATATAAACGTTACGGGCGGCTGTAGTCACCCGTACATTAAACCTGGGGAACAAAATACAAAAACGTAAAATCCTTACTACTTTCGCTATTTTCCTTTCACTTAAGTGTATTAAATATAGTTAATAACCTGTTTTACTAATTATAAGAAATATTTTATTAAAATAAATAATATACAATACAAGAACTTAACGAAAGACCGACACACAAAGGCGAAGTTATCGCATGTCGACTTCATCACATATAAAAACATCATAACAGACTTTGGATTTATAAAACTTGAAGATATACGAATAGAAAACACTCTGTGGATTATTTTCATATATAACGCTAGTACAAAAGTATAATAAATATATTATTACTTACATTTTAAATGAAGAACTCACAGTAACACCGGCCACTACACAGAACTTAACAAAACGCTTTTTTTTTTCAATGCCATCTGTTACCTGGCATGGACCTTTTACTAACATATAGATACGTTTTTTAATATAGAACCATCTAGTATAACATTCATAAAGCTTTTTGTAACATTCTATAGATCAAAAGTCGTTTAAAGTTTAGAAGTCAGAGAGGCCGCTCTAGTCGCCCTAACGTTAGAGTGGGTAGTCGTCTCTGCGAATGGACTAATCCCATTCAGCCTCTCGGGTCATCTGAGGCGACTGGGTCTCCGTGACGGACCGCTCCGGACTCAAATGCAGAAGGCAGTGCTCCTCGATACTGCCCGCATCGTCCGCCGGTTTCTTTCCCTTTCCTCCTGCGTGCGTGCGGGCGCGAGCGAGCGAGCTTGCGTGCGTGCGTGCGTGCGTGCCTGCGTGCGTACGTGCGTGCGTGCGTGCGTGCGTGCGTGCGTACGCCCGTGCATGCGTGCGTGCATGTGTGCGTGTGTGCATGCGTGCGTGCGTGCGTGCGTGCGTGTGTGCGTGCGTGCGTGCGTCCGTGCGTGTGTGCGTGCGCGCATGCGTGCTTGCGGGCTTGCGTGCGTGCGTGCGTGCGTGCGTGTGTGTGTGTGTGTGTGTGTGTGTGTGTGTGTGTGTTTGTTAGAACTTAAATACTGATTAACTTCTCTGTTTCCAGGTAATTAAGGCTTAGCAATCAATTTTGAATTTTGTCTTTACATTTATTGGGGGACAAAGGGTAAATATTGTTTTCTATATTAGCTACATTATAATGCTACAACATTATGTGAATTGTAAATTATTGGCGAAACAACGAAACATACACTAATATATTATCTTTAATATAAACATCAAGATATTTTGATTACAGCTTATGCTACCATCAAAATCTCTCAAAATCATGACAGTATGACTCATCAACGTAATATTGTGATGAAATTGGTCAGTAATCAAGAACTCAAGATATTTTATGTTATATTTACGACAGCGTTATTTTGTTTTTGGGCTGAAGGCCTTATAGCCGATGCCACAATAAAAAAAATAGGGACAAATGTATTGCCAACTTCAAATCCTAAAAAATTACGCCAAATATGCAGAGATCAAAGAGCTAATAATAACTAGTTTGAAAATTACCAAAATTAAATGATTTTGCTAAAATAAAAAAGTGAGTTGGCTTAAAAGGACGCTTAAAGACTGTTACAAATTACAAAATTTATTTCTTAAGACGTAAACCCATTTTGCGAAATGAAAGGTTACAAGGTATAGTAGACCCTTTTTAAAAGTTTGGTCATTATTTTTGTAGTTTAATTACTAAATGTTAAAACAATCATTATTATTATTTTACGCATTGGGTTATCTTTGACTTAACAAGTAAATTGGGTTTAGAACCAAATAAATTTAGTTTTGATTTTGGGAGAGATGTTCCTTGGTTCACGAGGAACTGGGAAAACCATAATTGGATTATAATATTTTGTTTGGGAGCTTTTTATATCAAAAGTTTTAAATAAAAATTTTGCATTATTTACAATTAAAATGGGCTTGTATTTAAAATATTTTATTAATCTTATAGAATAATAAACGAGATTATAATCATTAATTTCTGGGTTTTGCTCATGCAAAGAGAGGCATTTGAGTAATGTTACTATTTCATAGGAAATTACAACTCTGTTACGTCAATTACGATTTTTTTTCGAAAATTATGGTAGTGACGTTTGAAATTATGCCAAATTTTTGACTTATTCGCTAAAGGTAGTAATTATATTAAGCAAGTCTAGTCCTGACAGATTCGAGATTTGAATTAATCAAATTATATTCGAAGTTAAGTTAATTAGTAATCCAGCAATTAAAGCTAAGGCAAAGTGTGGGCATCCACGTCTTTTTTCCGCCACAAGGTGAAATATTTGACAGATATCATAGCTGCGGAAGTTAATTCTTTAGATAAGTGTAAAGATTAATATTTGTCTTTGAAATATTTACTCATATTTTATATTAAATTACATTAGAAACGAATTAACAAAACTACGAATATTCCTTTAAATAGAAAAATTTAAAAAAAAGTGAAAACAAAATGCGTAAAAAATTAAAGAACAGTTCTGAGGAATTTTTAATGTGTAGGTTATATATGATATACATCATATATTTATATATGATATACTAACACTAGAAATCTTAAATTTTTTTTTATAAATCCTAACATTTCTTTTTCTTTAACCTCAAATAAATTTGTATTTCGCACAGACTTAGAATAGACTGGATTTCACATATTACTTTTTTATTAAAATTGTTGACAAAGAATTTTTAAAGTTGGGAACACTATCATTCTATCGAACATTCATTCATAAAGTAGAACGTTACGTTCGCTCAACCATTCGCCAACTGGAATGTGTAGTTCTCGAATCGACTGGTTCTGAACCAGTGGTTTAGCATTCATTTGTCATTTCATCATTCATTCTATTTCTATAATTTCTATTTCATTCAGTGGTATCCAGCGTCTGGGGTAGAACGTCTTGTAGCTTTTGCCCCAACAAAGAAAGATTTTGTTTTCAAAAGTAGACATGTAAATTCTGACATAAAACCTTTATATAATTGTTCACAATACCAATTAAAATGTTTAATTACAATTAGTGTAGTTTTGTTCTCTCAAAAAATTAAATCGATCCAAGTTTGAAGTGTTTATTTATGTTTTGTAAGCGGGTTTCTTTTAACATTTGTTTTGCAAACAGCTAATATACCCACCTAAAAATTTATAAACACTAATCAGTGCGAGTTTATTGTGCGCGACGTTTCACGAGGAGGGTAATGTTCGGAGTGCTTGGGTGAGGTGTCGCGATGTCCTTAAGATTGGTGCTTTTACTGGCAGCGGCGGCTTTTGCCGTTGCTGCACCGGATCCTTGGCTGAGTGATATTGGCTTAAAAATCCACTCGGAGTTGTACGACGCGATGGGAATGATTGAAGTTAACTACTCGGACCCCATCATCAACACCACGTACGTGTCCGGTGTGGAGTTTGATATGCGTGCGATGGGCGCACTTTATAATTCCACGCACATGATAATCGACTTTATCGTCAACAAACAGGCTTATCCCGAAGGTAAGTTTTTTTTTCAGAAAATAAATTTCAGAACTCTTCGTGCTTTCGTGTCCTTAGGAAATATAACACAATTTTGATAACCTAACCTTTTTAGCTCAAAGTTAAAATCACTTCACCTAAGGAATTTTTAAATTAAGCCGGTTTAAATTTCTTCGTAACAACATAATAAGGAACTTATTTTCAATTCATTTAAATATTTGCAAGTTAAATAATTTTTTGTCTTGTTTTTATGCTGATGTCTGATGAGTGATGTCTGTTGACAAGGATCCTTTTACAGCTTTATAGGCGTTTATGAACAAACAAAAACCAGAACTTTAAAACCATTAAATAAATAAAGTAAATAAACAATATGTTTAATACATACTTTCCTTTATATTTTTATTTTACAATCAATATTTTTTGGTTTTTTGATATCAAATGTTTACTTAGAAAATAATAATATCTCAAGGTGTGTTTCAAACAGTACTATGTATGGCATGGAAAAGTGTTATTTCCATACAATGGGTTACATATATAACAATGGTGTTGCCGATTGTCGTTATGTACAGTCAGGCAACAATGGAGACATCACATAGGGACGCGCAAGTTCACTATAGCCTATAGACTTCTTGCGAATTTTTTTCTAGTCTGAAATTTTAGTGTTAGGATTGCTATGCCTCTTATTGGATAATAATTACATTTAATGGTTATTTAAGATAATTAGAGAGATAGAGTTTTTATCTCAAATAATCATTATAGTGCTGTCCATTCTTTCCATCCATTACATTCTATCTACTCATACTGCTGAACATAGGCCTGCCCTATAGATTACCTTATAGGGGGGATTTTGTCATATTTGCCACCCTTGGCAGGTGCGTTAGGAACTGTAGTTTTTTATTATATTTAATTTATATCAGGAAGGTACTGCTTGATGTATGTCACCTTTGTTTTAATTACCCTCTGTTGCCTCTTACACCACTACTAAACGGTAAGTGCTGTGATCATCCCCGATTCTCTCTTAGCTTAATTTAATCTTAAAACATAGAAGGATTCATGACCTTCCTATCAGCTCTGGTGTTTTAAAATAATTTTAATTATAGAGCATATAACAATAATTTTTTAAGTTTCATGGGTGGTAATCGGTAATCACTTACCATCAGGTGAGCCGTATACTCGTTTGCCCCGTCTCCTAAAAAAATTTTATACCCTATGTCACTTCCACAACTAAGTGACCCATAATAGTAACCCCTACCATAATAGTAAGCAGCGTAGGCTATAGACTGTGGAAAAGAACTAAATATACATACTCTCGATAAACCTTACCCTCCTTCTAGTATGCAATACATTAACAACCTTGAATAAGTTAACTTGTTATTGAAAGTCTAAAGTATTATGTTGAAGTTAATTATATAAATATATATTTAAGATATATAGAATAATTATTTTCTTCACACAGAATGATTTGTTTCCAATATAAATAAATACTCCCTTGTATGACATTGTCCTTAAGTGTTTAAGTACTTTCCAAGAAACCTAAAGCATTTTAGTTGTTATCTTATCTACTGTTATCACTTGTTATGAATTATATTGTTAGTTTGTTATTAACATTTACATGTTACCTCAGCCCGTACTGGAAATAAGTGCCGCCAACCAAGTTAAAGATAACTCGATGTAGTATATAGAGGACTATGGGCTTCTGTGTTTTATTGGCCTCAACATACATTTGTACTATTCAATATTTTATGAAAAAACCCCTGGCCCCCTGTCCCCCCCCATGAAATATAGTAAGAGCATCCTTCTGGCTACAGTACTAATGCATAAATTACATATCAATTTTCAAAAAAGCATGTATTTAATTTGATTTAAAATATAAACACCATCCAAAACTTTGTTTCCATGTTAAAGGTCAAACTGTTCTGTCGAATTACAACATAAAACATTCTCATTCAGAGTGGTAGTGTCAATTTGCAAAAAAATCAATAACAATGATAGTATTTTTTTAGTTTTTATGGCTGGGTGCCACAGTGGTATTAGCTTGAGTTGAGCCGCTAAGGGCCTCGGGTTTGGATCCTGCATGTATTGCCATTTGTGGGCCATACAGCCTACAAATAATTATTCCAGATCTGAATGTTTGTTCTCGTGTAATTTATCTTTGTAACTGCCTCCACAATACAGGAAAAGATTCTAGTGTGGGGTAACATTTGGAAAAACGAATAAGAAAAAGAGTCTTTAAGGTGTCGTTGTCTGGCAGTTGAACTTTCACTCACCATATAGAACTCAGAAGCATTATGCTATTCTATGATGTGTTACGAGTGAGTGTGGTCCTTGCGCTGTTGAGCTGTCCTCATGCTGCGGACATATTACCCTGTAGTGAGCTCCACCTCATATAAGCACAAGACAACATCGATGAACAATAAAGAATCATAACCTGAATGCATTTTTAACCCAAAGGACTAAGCTGGAATGCCCCACTACCAGTAAGTCTAATTTTGACACACTCCATGTTATGTTAAACATATTTAATATAATAGTTTATACAATCAGTTTTTTCTTTGGTTGATAATGGTCTACTAAAGTCCACTGCTGAACATAGTGATGGCGAGCCTGCTCGCCGGGAGAGGTTGCCAACAGCAGTTATTGTCTTCTGGTTGATATCAGGAAGACACTGCTGCCCCTCTCCCGGTATGCTGCCCTCCGCTGCCTCTACAACACCTGCCAGACAACATGGGTTAGTGGATGTTCCTACTCTGCTTGATCCATAGAAGTGTTAGCACAGAATTTGAACTCACAAATTATGTTAGTGAACAGAATACAACTACACTAAGACATTAATGAAATAATTACCTGTGAGAAACAGTTTTATGTTATTATTTTATACTGGTAATCTGAGACAGAATGATCCTTCCTCAGTTGAGCAAAGATTCATAGTGTCTATAATGCCCCTGTTGTATGACTGCTACTTATAAATATATAAAAAGACAATAATAGTTTTTATATTAGATTATAAATGCAAAAAGAAAATTATATAAGAACTGTTTAAATAATTGACCATGGTGATTGTTAATGTTTCCTTTTCTTTAATTGTTATCACTGAATTATTTATTCATTACAAAATGTTTTTGAGATAAAGCAGTAGGAATTTCTTATTTTAATTTATATAAAGCTGAGTGACAAACATGAAAGTTTATGTATTTATGTTTTTCTTTGTATTTTTTTATAGCATGTAATATATAATATATATATATGTAAAATCATGTTTATAATTTATATACATCTTTATTTTTTATTGTCATAGATTTAATGGTGTGGATTTTTACTTAAAAAGTGCTTTGAAGGAGCAAAAAATAGGAGTGTCGCTGTAATATCGAAATAAATGTGGGTAAATTTGCATGCCATAACACATGAGTAATCATTGTTTAAATTTTAGTCTGTCTGTCGGTCCGGCTATCTTTGGAATGGCTGAACCAATGGTAATAAAACTGTACAAACAGATAAAGAGAAATCCAGAGTGATCCAGAATCCAGGCTATATTCGTCGGAAAACTTGGATATTTAAAAAAATAATTATTCAAATAAATATCTTAAATCTAAATACTGTTAATAGATCATTATTCATAACAGAGCGAATTGCTAGTTTTAACTAAAAATATTTGACTTTGTCTTTACTTTTGCTATCTGTAATAAATTAGTAATTCTTATCTTGAAGTATCAAATGATCACAGGGGATGCTGTAAAATGTATGAGGCGGGGAGGCGGAGGGCTTAAAGCCGCGTGTCGAGTGCAGCGGGGGCGTCGACCCCGCACAGAGCTGTCGCGCGCCAGAGCCGGCTCCGACACCACTAGCCACTAGCACGTAATGTGGCTGTTTGCCAGCTCTCAACAATCAATATTATCTAAATTTTGTAAACATGCCATTGAGACTATTTTTAAAACGAATACAATGAACTGATTACTATTACTAAAATATTGCTATATTTATTTTATAGTTTCGCAAATATAGGGCTGAATCTATTTATTTTATAGTTAAATATACGCGATAAAATCCGTAAAAACTAGTATTATTTCAATGAGTGTTTATGTATGTATGTTGCTGTTTCGCAGATATCATTACTATTAAGATGCGTGTTTAAGCAAAATGCCGCGCTAGTCGTTATTTGTGAGGTTATTAGGTAGGAGATATCAACTTGTTATTAAAAAGATATATCAACTAATAAAAAATCTATTAAATTTCTATATAATCTTGATTCCATAATAGCCAATTCCAAAAAAATTTAAAACGAGTAAACACTTGATGAATCTTCCTACAACTAAACCACAGAAATGCGAAATAATTATTGATAACATGCATCTCCTCATAAAGTAAGCATTATTTTATTTTGTAATTGACACTAATAGATAGGCAATTTATTAATGAACATTTTGATCAATTTAATTGTTTTAAAAGACTAAAATTTGACTTTATTCTTACGCGATATATTGTAGCGAGAGCGCGTGCAATGTATGGGAGAAAACGCTCAAGGTCGTTCCTTCAGTATACATAGTCTACCAATAAAACCTTTACCGTTAAAGTTACGGCCTATTAAAGTCCACCGCTGAATACTGCCCCTTAGATTAGATTGCCTATAGTGGGGGGATATTTGCCACAGTTGCAACGCTTAGCGGGCGGGTTGGCTACCGCAGTTTTTATTTTTGGTCGTTATTAGGAAGACTGCTGCCCGTCTCCCGGTTTGTTTCGCTCTGTCGTCACTAACGACGCCCACGGGATGGTGTGCGCAGTGGATATCCTTTAACCGCCACTACACGGTCTTGTACTACTACTAATGGAACCTTTAGTGGGCCACTTATTCACCGGAATAGACAACAGTATTGTTCAATTGTTCTATAAATAAACAACGCTTCTAAAACCTTTTTGTTTGTTATACAACACGCAATATTATGATGATCGATTCCATCCCACAATACGCATTATTCTGACGATAGATTTAGCTTATTCATATGTCAGTAATTAGGTAATACTAACAAATAATTTCAAAGGCTTTGAAAGCCAATTTGTCGTAGGTGTTTTGTGCATAATTTTTTATTAATGCATGAAGTAGTTTAAGTAGTATTAAAATATTTAACATCAGCACATAACGGCTCTGAACTGCAGTCACTTAAAAAAAAATTACGTTTTTCAAAATCCATAAATAAATCTGCCAAATTTCTTTAGATACCCACCATTAATAACAAAGTGAATCTCTTTTTAAGAAATAAAAATATATACTGATAAGCAAACAATCTGCGGGCACGGTAGTGCCCCCGCCAAGTCGAGCAAAAAAGCGGCACGGCCGTACCATCTTTTCTCGAAGCAATTCAGGCCATTTTCGACCCCCTATAACTTCGTAGTCAATTAATCTAGAAGCCTGAATTTTCAGTTACCGATTAAGCATTGTATAAACATGGTATATTTCAAATTTCATTCAATTTGAGCCAGTAGTTTAAGAATTGTAACTAGTCAAAGTTTCTTAATTTTGTCACTCACTGACTGACTCGATCATCAAAACTCTAAGGCACTTCTAGCGGACATAGAAGCTTCAAATTTAAAATACTATTAGTATGTAGTGTATAAATCAAGGAAAAACTAAAATATTTTTCAATTTCGGTCCAGTTTTCTAGATATACTAACTGCATTAATAACTTGGAAGATAGATGTAGATGTCTATGGGCCGAGAACTTACCATAGGTGGATGTTTTTTACCTAAACTTGTAATCCCATGTAAATATATAGAATTACAAAGTTAAATTTGCAGTGAATGAATCAGTGTACTTGTATAATATGTATTACAGGTAAAAAATTAGGACTATCTTATATACAAAAAGAAATGAGATGCCATTAAAAACATAACTTGTAAAAAAAACCAAGTCTCGCAACATTTTCTACCCAAAAAGTTGTGAGATCATGTAATACAGTGTTAATTTATCGTTCTATTAATCCTTATTTTGTTTGTAATGTATTTATAGTGAATATCACTTTAAATTTTATGTATATAGATACTTGATCATAAGCAATCTAATTTTATATATGTATTTCTTGTGAGATACATTGTGGTTTCATGAGATGGCCAAGCAAATTTAAAATATAAAAACTTTTAAAGTTGATATGGTCACTATAAAATGTTGTTAGGTTAGCTAATTACGTAATAACTTAAAACATAAGGAGTCTTAAGTAGGAACTGAATAAATTAACCGACTTGGTATTACATGGATCTCACAACTTTTTGCGGTAGAAGAACTGAGTTACGAGACTTGGTTTTTCTTTGCAAGTTATGTTTTTAATGGCATACAAATATTCAGTTTCAAATACGATTTACTTTTTAAAGTCATATGTTTTTTATGTTTTTCATATTTTTCTTTTGTTGATCCCGTTTATTTTAATGCAAATGAGGATATTAAAAAATAAAAAAATCCATGAGTGTCTTCTCCAGTCGTTTTTAATGATGTGAAGCCGCCGTACCGCTGAGACCACTATTTGACTTTTTATGGCACTCAACAAACGGTACTTTAAAATCAAAAGGATCTACGTTTAATTTTTTTAACTTCCATTTTCATTTTGTCTCATCCAAGCAAGGGAAGCTAATATTGAAGAACTGTAAATGTTATTGTAAAATCTAAATATTTGTTGGTCAATTTAAATATATTTTATTCAGTTTAATTTTAAAACGTAAAGCTCTATATTGTTCAAAGGATTTATTAATCACAAAATGCTTTGCTCTGACTTATTGTTTTCTTTCTTCAAGTTGACGTTGAATACCGACGGAAGAAAAGAAAGAACACGAGATAAACTTTATAAAACATTGATTCGTAATTTTGATTATAAATCAATATTGCGTTTCAGTAATTAAATTTAGTTTATGTTGTAGTGTTGTAGATGAATTCATAAATTATTTGTAACAAAATATTTATACATTTCAGCTTCTCGCACTCCATATAAATTTTAACTTACGTGCGCGCAATATCCTTAAAAAGGGCTTCAAAGTTTGCCCGGGTGCGTGTTTGAGCAAAATGCCGCGCTATAGTCTGTCAACGTCGTGCAGTCCGCGCCCACGGGGTACAGGGTGGAGAGGGACGAGGAAGCACGCGGCTCGTGCACGAGGCCACGCCCACAGCTACACACGTAGGGATTTGGGATCGAGTTATCTTGAGATTAGTATGGATTTATTTAAATTTATTACGAAGTATTGTGTGATGTAGTGATGAATTCGATATAATATTAAATCACTTTATATTATAAAAAAAGTAAACCGAAACCAAAACCCCGCCGCGTCTGTATGATAAACTCAAAAACAACTGAACGGATTTTCTCCAATAGACGGATTGATTCATGAGGAAGCTTTGCAAAATCTAGTACAAGTATAAAATGTAATGCACGCCGAAAGTAGAACGAAAATTGGAAAAATAAAAGATTAAACACCGAATAATAGTAATAATATTTTTTCTAAATAAGAAAGTAATTTAATACCGTTTTTTTTACACTCATATTTACAACGAAAACTAATTATAGCCGCAATCCATATCTATTTCCTCATCATCGTCCTGGTCATAATCTGTGTCCGTGTCTTCACCTAAGTTAATAATCAACCTGCGAACAAACAATATTTCAGTTAATTATAAGTCTTAAAGTACGTGTATGTTAAAAAGGAAGAAGGAAGTGGTGTGCTCGGATCGCGGTTCTTGGCGCTCAATTCTCTATGCCTACCCCGCAAGGGAAAGCGTGATGTAATGTAATGTCGAAAAACATACTAACCTGTCAATTTCGTCGTCGAACACTCTGTCTGTCTCATAATATTCTAGTTCATTTTTTATGACGTGGTCGTCGCATTTAAACCATTTTTCAGCCGAATAATTAGTAAAGAGTGAAATTAGCACTTCCTTCTTTTTATCTAAATTTGAATCAATGGCTGTCCTAGCTAATTCACCTTTGAGGTCTCCCCAAACTAATTCTATAGGGTTGAGGTCCGGGTGGTACGGTGGAAGGCGTAGAACGGTATGTCCTTCCGCCTTAATGATTTCATCAATCCGGTATTGCTTCTCAATATTCTGCTGATTTATTAAGTTCATCAGGTCACATTTGCGTGCAGATTCGTCAAATGGAACATTTTTTCGCGTCAACCATTCCTGCATGTGGCTCTTAAGAGAGCTCATAGTAGGTTTCCTATCGATTTGGGTGCTGTGGTATGCCGCATTATCCATAACGACGACCGAGTTCTGGGGGATATTTGGCAGAAGGTTTTCAGTTGCCCATTTTTGGAAGTTCACGGCATTCATTTCACCGTGGTAGTCCCCAGTCTTCGAATGTGACTTGAAGATTAGTAAAGCATTATTCACAAATCCATCACGGCTTCCAGCATGAACTACGATCAGGCGAGGTCCCTTGCCGATCGCGTTTGTAGCACCACGTTCTTCTTTAGATTGCCAACATTTTCGTACATTATGTGCCTCGTTGACATATGTTTCATCCAAAAAAATTATTGGCCTTCCATCGGCTCGATATTTTTTTATGTCTCGAATATAATACCATCTCAGAGCCATAATATCTGGTCGCTCGATTATTAATTTTCTTTTCGATTGGCAGCTTAGAAATCGAAATCCCAATTCCCGAAGAATCTTTCTTAAATGCTCATGTGAGCATTGTATGATGTTCTCTTCTTTCAATTCGGCTGTTAGTTTTCTTAAACTTGGAATAATTTTTTTTACACTGTAGTACTGGGACACTTTACGTCGTATCACTCCTAAAGTGAAACTATCTACTTCAATTCGCTTTTCGGGAAACAAGTTTTTTCTGGGAGATTTGAATTTTGAAGGTCCTGCAGTGTCATTCATTGTATTTTTTTCACTGACAATTCTTCTTACTGTTCTTTCCGAGAGCCCTGTTGCTACAGACACGGTTTTTGCCAAATTAATATCGTTCTGGTATTCTTGCGATGATTTATCATTTTTACGCTCTTTAAAATACATGTATACGTTATACACAATTTCTTTTGATTGTCGTCTAATCGGTTTGCTCATCTTCGGATCGTAATCTCGTGTGCGTCTAGTATACAAGTAACCGTTGCAAGCGACCACCGGCGACTGGCGCTCCTGAGCACGCGGCGTGCTCGCTCGCCCTCCCGCATACCGCTCGCTTCCCCTTTGTCGCCGTTTTACCTCGTCCTTGCCAACCCCTGTAGCCCCGCGGGCGCGGACTGCACGAAGTTGACAGCCTTATAGTCGTTATTTGTGAGGGTTTTAGAAGCTTATCTACTTATTATTTAAAAGGTATATATCTACTAATATATATATATATATATATATATTAATCATTAACCCGTCTCTGGGGGAGGTAGAGGCATCCTCTCTGTCTCCCTCTAGGGTAAATCCTGTTTGGCGCGTCCAAGCCGCGGGGGTGGGCGCCGTTTACTTCAGTAGGCCGGATTAAATTGGTGGCCAAGTTCAGCCAGGGACCCAGTGCTGTGGGGTATAACACAGTCCCTTACCCAGGGTTACGGGTGAAGACTTCAACGGCTGCGAAGGCGAAGATAATAGTTATCGGTACGGCGGAGCAGGCGGAAGAAGCACAAACCCAGTGGAAAGCTGCTCTCACATATTGAGACCCCAGGTTACATTGGAGCTGAAACACCATGCAGGGTGATGTAGTAGGGATGGCGGCGGAAACGACCTCATTCCAACGGCGGCCCCCAAGCCCTTCAGAAGGGTTACTGCATTGGCGTCAGGTGGCAACCGGCCGTAATACAAATAGCCAAAACATTTTCTCCTTACATGAAAGCACAAGACAACAATCCTACAGGGCTCACTAACATTGCTGAAATATCTCCAAATCAGTTCGGTTTTACATCATCCAGATTAACTATTGATGCCATCCAAAGGATTAGAATTCTGATGGAAAAACATAAAATAAACAATAAAGACCTACATCTAGCATTCATAGACCTAGAAAAAGCCTTTGATCGAGTTCCACGTAGGCTGGTATGGCAGGCACTTCGTGCCCAAAGGGTGCCAGAGTTTTATATCGAACTTATAAAAGATATGTACTGCAAGGCCAACACGAGAGTCAGAAGCCCAACCGGCGTGAGTAAAGCTTTTGAAGTCAAAGTGGGTGTCCATCGGGGATCTGCTCTTAGTCCCCTCCTATTCAATCTGGTGATGGCTACCTCACTAAGGGTATACCTGCTCCATTGCCATCGACTATTCTATACGCGGATGACATTGTCTTAGCTGCTGATGCCGCAAGCCACTTGCAGGAAACTCTTAATGTGTGGACACACGCTCTTGAAGAGTACGGCCTGAGGGTTAGTAGGAGCAAAACTGAGTATTTGAAATGCCCTTTCAGTGGAAACCCCCTATCTGAAACTATCTGTATTGGGACAACACCTTTTTCTACAGTAGATAAATTTAAATACTTGGGCTCTATGCTTACCACAGATGCGAACGTTGACACAGATGTGGCACATAGAATAAGTGCCGCATGGCTGAAATGGCGATCACTTACAGGGGTATTATGTGATCCACGTATTCCCATAAAACTAAGGGCAAAGTATATAAAACCGCAGTACGTCCTGCGCTACTGTATGGTTCTGAATGTTGGACAACAAAAGACGCATGAGCAAAAGGTCCATACTAACCAAACGAAGGTGCTTAGGTGGGCGGGAGGTGTGACTCGGCTTGACAAAGTCCGTAATGAACATATACGTGGCAGCTTTAAAATCGCACCTATTACAGATAAAATCATTAAAAATCGCCTAAGATGGTATGGACATATTAAAAGACGCAGCGAAGATCATGCAGTTCAAATAGCTCTAAGCTTGCCAGAAACAAAGAGAAGTAGAGGCCGCCCGCCAATGACATGGTGGTCTAATATCGCAAGACATTGTAGCGAGAGCGCGTGGAATGTATGGGAGCGGACGCTCAAGGTCGTTCGCTAGGAGTTGCGCCTATAGTACATAGATAATAATATTATTAGTTAACATCATAGTAGTGCTGTTAAATACGTTTGATTTATAATAACACAGTCACGAAAGTAAAAATTAAAAAGTAGGTATGTAGGTAGCTTTAGAAAATGCGTTCTTTATTTTTATGTGCGGCAAAATTATCCACACGAGGTTTTTCCTTTCGTAGTTAATTATTCAACTTATTCAGTTTCCTCTGTCGATATTATGTACTTATTTTAAATAGTTATGTAGTTATGTTAAATAATCCGCATATTAATTTAATTTTAACAGTGGTAGAGCTACGCGGCAGCCTTTGTCGTTGCACACACTTCATTCAAACTTTAACACCGTCCACTACCATCTGGAAACGGCGAAGCCGGTCTTGCTCTTTTTAACGCAGACACAGGTGTCCTCTCCGGCTGATACTTCGTATCTCTCCTACCCAGGGTACAGATTAGAACACTCCTTTGTGCCCCGGGCTGGAGTTTGCGTGTACGTCAGAGAGGACATCTGTTTTCGACGCCTCGGCAGCCATGAAGGTACGGTAAGGTAAGGACGGTACCTATCCATCTTATGGCTGCGCGTACACATCGACGGCCATCCCCGCGTCTACGGGTGCCTCTATAGGTCCCATAGCGGTAATGCAGACCGACTCATCGACAATGTCCAGATGTCTACAGACCCCGTGCTACAACATATCCCATCCGCAAAGATCGTGATACTTGGCGATTTTAACGCCCACCACGCTGAATGGCTTGGTTCTCGTTTAACCGATCATGCGGGTAGATCTGTTTATGACTTTGCTTTGGCATATGGTCTGACACAACTGGTTACCTCGGCTACACGGATCCCAGATGTGGAAGACCATGTACCTTCCCTGTTAGACCTTCTGCTGACCTCTCATCCGTACGGATATCAGGTCTCCGTCGATGCCCCTCTTGGCTCCTCGGACCACTGTCTGGAATATTATCGCGGTTTCGTACTGCAGGTTGCCGCTGTGTTTGGCATTATAGGTCAGGAGATTGGGACGAGATGCGATCTTTTTTTGCATCCTACCCTTGGAGGCGGGTTTGCTTCTTGCGGGTGATCCCAGCGTTGTAGCTGATTCTGTCGCTGATGTGGTGCTACAGGAAATGGAACTTTTTATTCCATCATCTGTGGTACCTATCGGAGGCAGAACCCAGGCTTGGTTTGATTGCTCCTGCAAAATTGCACTACGTCATAAGCAAGAGTGCTACCAGGTCTGGGCTCGCGCATCGACGTCTCAGGATGCAAATACCAGCGCTCGTAAAAAGAAGTACAATTCCGCCTCCAGGTCCTTAAAAAGTGTCATTTCAAGGCAAAGTCAGAGCACATCGGCAGAATTGGCGAGAAACTAGTTCGTCTTCCTTCGGGAACACGTGCATTCTTGTCTCTCGCCAAGACTGTTCAAGGGAACTTCTGCCAGCCATCTCTCTTATCTCTGCACAGGGAGGATACTCACTGGCCAACCTTCGGGGCTCTCTGTTTGCGTCCAACTCGACTCTTGATGACTGAGGGAACACACCGCCGACCATCCCGCGGTGTGAGTAATCCATGCAGGACGTCCTGTTTACCCAACGCTCAGTGCGCAGAGCACCCCTATCCCTGGACGTCAACAAGTCGAGTGGGCCGGATGGTGTTCCTCATATTGTGCTGAAGACGTTTCCGGTACTCGTACTCCCTCGGCGTAGTCCCGAAACCATGGAAGACAGTCCTCGTGCACCCAATCCCTAAAAAAGGTAACCGCTCTGATCCGTCCAACTATAGGCCTATCGCCATCACCTCCTTGTTTTCTAAAATAATAGAATCCATTATTAACAGCCAGCTCATGCGGTACCTTGAAGATCACCAGCTGATTAGTGACCACCAGTACGGTTTCCGTCGCGGTCGCTCGGCTGGTGATCTGAGTTATCTAACTCATAAATGGGCGGAGACAGTAGAGTCCAAGGGGGAGACGTTGACCGTTAGTTTGGATATAGCGAGGGCCTTCGATTGGATTTGGGACAAAGCGCTTCTTACAAAGCTTCCTTCGGAGCATCAATGTCATAGGAGACTGTGCATGCTCCGATTACAAGCCCATTAACACTGGTGGTCCACAAGGCTGTGTGCTATCACCAACGCTGTTTCTTCTGCATATCAATGACATGTTGCAAACCGGTAACATTTATTGCTATGCAGACGACAGCATTGGTGATGCTTTATATACCGTCTGTGCTAATATTTCTCGGGAAAACGTCGCAGAGTATCGGGACAAACTTGTGTCTGAAGTCGAAACTTTGTTGAACAAAGTATGTATATAAGAGGAATGGGCACAAACTTGTGTTTGAAGTCGAAACTTTGTTGAACAAAGTCTCGGACTGGGGGCGACTAAATCTAGTCCAGTTTAATCCCCAGAAGACACAAAATTGCGCGTTTACCGCTGAAAAAACCCCTTTGTCGTATTCCCTTAGTTTCAAGGCAGTCCCATTGTTGCCTTAGCCAGTATCGGAATCCTCGGCGTCGACATATCGAGTAATGTGCAGTTTTGTGGTCACTTGGAAGAGAAGGCCAAATTGGCATCTAAAAAGCTCGGCGTGCTCAGCAGAGCGGGACAGTATTTCATGCCGGCTCATCGCCTGCAACTTTACAAGGCGGAGGTTCGGCTGCACATGGAATACTGTTCCCATCTATGGACCGGGGCTCAGGGGCCAGTGCCAGCTCCTTTCCTTCCATTTGATCCAGCGCAGAGCTGTTCGAATCATCGGTGACCGAGCTCTTTCCGATCGGCTTGACTCACTGGCACTGCGATGAGATGTTGCATCTCTTTGCGTATTTTATTGCATCTACCACGGGGAGTGTTCGGAGGAATTGTTCGGACTAATTCCAGCCGCACAATTTCACCATCGCACATCGCGACAAAACTTGCGATATCATCCATACAATTTGGATGACTGGCGGTCCACCACCGTGCGATTTAAAAGAAGTTTTCTTCCTCGCACAACTTCCTTGTGGAATCGACTACCACCAGAGATTTTTCAGGACCGATATGACTTAGGTCCCTTCAAGAAAAGTGTCTCACTC